CAAGGCAGAGGCAGGCCTGCGGAGGTCCCTGGAGGGTCCTGGACTGGCTGGCCACAGCCACACCCGCACTCAGAAGCCAGAATCCACTCATGAGCCTTACTTTACCCACCACCTTGAAACACCTTATGACAGGCCATGTCAGCCCAACTTTCAGGGGAAACTGAGGCAGGCTCCAGTGTGCAGCAACTGCCCTGGTCACCCTGGCGGGGAGGGTGAGGGTTGGCTGGGATGGGCAGTTGTGGCCTCCCAGGACTTGTGGGCGCGGGGCAGGCACTGCAGGTCCAGCCGGGGCGAGCGCCAGAGCCTCCGTTGGCTGCTGCGGCCCGGGCGGGCAGCTTTAATTACCGCTCGCTGGGCCCATTGAGCTGTGCTAATCTGGGGCCGCCGCCGCGGGCGGCGCAGGCGGGTGCCCCCTCCCCCTGCGCCCGGGCACGGGGTCCCCGGGTTCTCACGTCCCGCCGGCCCCAATTAAAGCGAGCTCGACAGGGCTGCTGCGGCGCTAATGAGCTCCGCGGGCTGCGGGCTCCACGCCAGGGGGGCAGGGCGGGGTGGAGGCGGAGTTGGCATGGGTGGGGTGACTTGGGACCATTCCTGAGGAGAGGCCCAAGGGACTCCCCTATCTGTGCCCACCTGCCGAGCGGAGCTCTGTGACCCCCCAGGAAGAAGTACCTGACCGTGGGAAACCTGCAGCTCCCGCCCCAGTGCAAAGCGCCCCCTTAGCCTGCAGGAAACGCTCTCAGAAGTCAGGAGGCCCACAGACAGAGCAGGGTCTGGGGTCCGGAAGGACAGGACGAGTGACCTGCCAGGGTCAGTCCTGCAGAGCTGGGCTTCCTCAAGTGGACAGCCGCCCTGAAGGCAACTGTGGGCCATGAGAGGTGCACATCCTGGCATTGGTCTGGGGCGGCACCTTGTGGGGCTTAGACCCAGGGGTGCCCCTTCCCACTTAGAGGAGTAGCCCGGGCCCAGGGGGATGGTGGTGAGGAATAAGGGATCCAAGGCCATGGCATTCTAGGCTCTTCAGCTCTGGGACCCAGCAGGGGGAGTGGCAGGACCAAAGGAATTTGCTAGAAACTTCTGAGGCTGTCCTGGGGTGCCCAGCTCAGACTGGGTATGGGACTGCAGGTCGGGAGCCCTCCTCCTCACCCCCAGCCCACCAGATGGGGGCTCTCAGTGCCAGGGCCTCGAAGGGCCTTCAGGTCTGCCTTGCAGTACAGCCCCCACTCCTATCCTCGTCCCCTCCAGTTCTGGACCCTGCCTGCGAGGCCCCAGCCTTTGAAGGGGGGTGAACAGGGGTCTTGGCAGGCAGAGGCCCCATCTTAGCCCACAGAGGCCCAGAGAGGAGTGGCAGGCAGTGTATGGGGGGTGGGCTGGGAGCACAGGCCTTGGTCCAGCTATGTGTATCGGGACCCTGACTCTGCCAACCCAACCACTTAGGGGGCCCCAGGGCCCAGAGCCTGATCAGCAAGTCCTAGCAAGGACTCTAGCCTGTCCTCCCCTCCCCCCATGCACACAGACACACAGCACATGCATATGTGGATGGGGCTCAGTGAATATTTGTCATGTCATGGAGGAGGTCAGTCATGGAGGAGGCTGAGTTTGTGCAGAGGGATCTGGAGGCCGTGCAATGACCTGGTTTACTGGGGGAGCCAGAGCCAGGCAGAGAGCCCAGGATGGGCTAGGGCACCAGGGGATTGGCCAAAGCCAGCTCCAAGCCACACAGAGATGTGGGCACCCAGACACACACATGCCCAAAGACCCAGCAACGGTGGGGGATCCAGGGACAAACCAGTAGGAAACCAAAGGTGTGGGAGGGAGGGTGTCACAGCCACTAAAAGATGCCTATGGTCCCCTGCTTGCAGCACCGGGCCAGGAGTCACCAGAGCCAGACTAGGAGCCGGGTCTGGGCTGGGCCCCGATCCTGTGCCCACCCAGGTGCCATGCTGTCACTGGGCCCGCCAACCTCAGCCTCTCTCCACCTCCTCCTCCGCCTCTTGGGCCACTTCATTGACAAGGGGTTTGGGGCCTGTCAGGTGTAGGGGTGGTTTGTGCTCTGGAGAGAAGGGGACCCCCGTTGGACCCCCAAGTTTGCTCCGCCCTCACCCCATACCCCTCCAGGCAGCCTCCCCTCCCTGCAGTTCCCTCAGGGCACTGGGTTTTGTGCTCTGGGGGCAGGGAGGTGCATGGGAGCCACTCACGAGCCAGGAACAGTTTGAGCCCTGAGAGAAGCTGATGGGAAAGGGGGCAGGCATCTCTCTTCCAACTGCCCCTCCCTTGGGCCCTGGCCCACCATGCCCACCTCCCTGCCCAGCCAGAGCCCGATGCCAGCCCTTGTTCCCTGGACAGCCGGTGAGCGCTGGAGGTGCTATCTGTGACAGCAGCAGAATGGGCCCGTCGCACCCAGGACAGGTGTCGGCGCCTGGGAAGGGGCCAACTGGAAACCCAACCCCACCCGCCACCCCCCACCCCCGCCGCAAACCTGGCAGGCTGTCCCCCAAGAGTAGAGATTAGCAGGACCCTGGTCCCGGCCCCTCCCAGGTCGATCTGCCCTAGATATAGGCAGGGGCTGGACCCAGGGGGACCCGGAGCCACTTCCAGAGTGAGGGAGGTGGGGAAGGGGAGGTGGGGGAGGGGAGGGGCTCTCGGGTCTTGGTCTCCCTCCTGCACAGTGGGGCCCACTCTCATCCCTGAGTTGACAGGGGCCCAATCTCAGATGGCAGCTCCCTTCCTGCTCAGATGGCAGCAAGATCTGGGTCAGGACGGGGGCCGGGAACAGCAGTGAACACCGGTGTGGGCTTACAGTTCTCACACCCGCCTCCCTCGGGCACCCCGGGCCCCCACTGTCCCCAGGGTTAACACGACGGGCCAGCTTACACACTGTCTGCCGAGCCTTTGCCCAGCTGTGGCCTCCTGCCGGAGCCCTCCAGTGTCTCGTAGCACCCCCGCTGCCCCCCCAGGCCCCTTCACTGGCCACGTTCTTCCTCATTCCTCAGACCCCGGCCCAGCTGTGGCCTGCCGTGGGAAGCCCCATTTGATCCCCCCAACTCCAAGCCCTGTTCTTCTTGGCCCAGCCTCACGACCCTGTGATGGGAGCTCCCAGGGAGGGTGGCTCCACCCCGGGGTTCCGTGTCTGGGGGTGTGCTGGGGGTGTGCGTCCCACCTGGAGCACTGTCTGCTCTGATCCCCATCCCCAGGCACAGCCCTCCCTGGGCCACGGGGTTGAGGCCCTCTGCTCGCCCTCTAGAACGGCTCTCAGCTCACCCTGCGTCCGAAGCCCTCCCGCGGCTGTCGGGTCCAGCCACCTTGCTGGTCACCTGGGTGGTGCTTCAGTGTCTTCCCTGCTTTCCTGTCTCCATGCTCCTCGCCCACCCACCTGGCTGTTTCCCTGCACCCTGCAGCTGTTGATGACCCACTTCTTCTGCCAAAGCCCTCTCTGGGGCTGTGTCCCAGCCACCACCCTGGACCCTGGTCCAGGCTGGGCCCCTCCCCACAGGTCTTGGCCCCAGCTGGGCCTTCTGCTTGGGGCACCTCTCCCTTGCCTCCTCTTCACCCCCGATTCTCAGGGATTCGTCCGGGAGCCCCAGCTGTCCACTCACCTGCTGCCCTTCATTCCCCCGACCCAGACCACACACGTAGTGGGGTCTTTAGGACACCCCCCCCCCCAGGCTGACCAAAGGCCTCTCCTGGGCTTGGCCACCTCTCCCAGACCTGCCCCTTGGACCGAGAGCAGCCCCACGGCCGTTGAGCCCAGGCTGCTGGTCCCAGTGGCTATTGTTGACATTTCTAGGCCCCGGGGGCACTTGGACCCCAGAAAGAGGGGTAGTACAGGACCCACCTGAGCCCATAGTCAAGCTGCAGCATCCCCAAGAACCCCATCCCATCTGGGCTCTGTCCCTGGACACTAGCCTGAGGGTATCAAGGCCACACAGCGTTGGCTTTATGAAGGCACCTCCTGGACCAAGTCGGGGTGGGCGGCCGGCGGTGTTGAGGTGGGACTGTGGGCGCTGTGGAGGGTAGTGGTCATGGCAGGATGGGGCTGCCTGAGACCCTATGCAGGTCACCCAAGGGATAGTGCCTACCTTCCCCTCGTGTCCCCTACAGCCTGGGGTCTGAGACAGGGTCTTCTTGCTGTGCCCTGGTGGGCAGTCCAGGGCTGGGGCAGAGGCAGGGCTGATGATTCCAGGGCACACAGCCGCTGCACATCCAAAGGTCAGATTAAAGCAGGTGTCCTCCAAGAGGGAGCACTGCTAGACCCTCAGGTCCAGGGGACACTGGTGCACAAGGGGTCGAGGGGGGTCTGCAGAGCCCCACGGCTCACCCCTTCGAGGTCCTTGGGTGATCTATCACCCTCAGCATCGGGGGAGGGGGTCCCTGGAGGGAGCTGACCTTTGCGACTTAACTGGGAGCTCCTAGCACCAGCAGGTCAGCCCGAGGGGGCCTGCGAGGCGGCCCTGTCCACAGAGAAAGGCCAGCTGGGATGCTAGGGTCCCTGAGCCTACCCGCTGGCCCTGGGCAGTGGGGCTCTTGCTATCCTCAGACCTCCCCTTCCATGGCTTCCTGCCCGGCCTGCCTGCCCTGGCTCCCGAGAACACAGTCGCGGTGGCTGAGGCCGCAGCTGGGAGTCCAGCCACCCTGAACCAGCCTGGCACAGCCAACCTGACATGGACAAGATTGACAAGTGGATGCTGGACAGACAGCCCAGGCCAGCTGCGGCTGCCCTCACACTCCACCAGGCCAGCCGGCTGACGCTGATGCCTCCTGACTCCCGGCCTCTCCGGCCCGTGAATGGGCGGTGTTTGTGTCTGGGGCGGGCGCCGGCGGGAGCAGCGCCCGGGATGAGGCGGCCAGTGCTGGGTCAGCGTTGCTGCCACCCAGGGCAGGCAGGGAGCCTCTCCCTCCCCTTCCTCACCCCCTTGGGCCAAGGGCCCAGGCCATTCCCAGGAGGACACATGCCACCCGCCTCAGCTCCTCAATTATGCTTCTTTGCCTGCTTCCCGCTCCAGCCATAGACGCCTCCACCAGGAAGCCCTCTGGGAAGAAGACGGCCTCTGCGTCCCAGCTCTGTCCAGTGGCCTCCAAGGTCCCCACCCAGCATCAGCCCTGAGCATGAGCAGGCATCGTGTGGGGGGTGAGTCCTGACCGCGAGGGACTTCGTTCCGTGGGGTGGCTGGGGAGGCCAGGAGTGAGGGGTCAGCCGGCCTAAACCTGGATCCCTCACCTTCTCCTAAACATGCCCCCACCTCTCTCACATCCACAGGTAAGCCGTTGGCAAGGCCACTTGGCTCTACCTTCAAGACATACCAGAGCCTAACGCGTCCCGCCGCCTGGTCCCCTCCCGCTGGGACCTGCGCCCACCTCCTCACCGGCCCCTCCTCTGCACACAACCTCTGGAAAACCTTAATCAGGTCATATCCCCGTCTTGGCCAGGCCCCCCGGGCTGCCGTCTCACTCCAATAAAACTCTTTATAGTAACCCATGGGCCGGCCTCCTCCCTCTTCCTCAATCTGCACCAGCCTCGGTCTCTCACTGTTCCTCAGACTTGCCAGCAGGCCCCAGCCTCAGGGTCCTTGCAGAGGCTGTTCCCTGGGCCTGAAGCGCTGTTCCTTGCACATCAGGATCAAGCTATCTAGTGGTCAGGGACCAGACTTTGGGCCATTTACTCAATGTCTCCTCTCCCCACCCTCAGCTCAGCTGCTACAAAGATGGAGTTGGTGCGCCTGGCTGGCCATGATGAGCGCAGTGGCCGTGGACGCTAGGATTTTGCTCTTCATTCTTCCCCCATGGGGCTTGTGGGGCTGGGGATTGGGGTCTGTGTCCCCTGCTCATGGGCGTCTATTGCTCCCAGAGGGCTCATGACGGCCTGGGGTGAGAATGCCTGGTGTCTCCCGCGGCGGGCTCCGTGCTGGCCGTGCGCCCCACCTCCGGCCTGGACCACTGCCCCCCCCCCCACAAACACACACACTACACTTTCCTCAAACACAACTCCATTTCCATTTGTGCCACTGATTGTCTGCGCGGACAAAGGCCCCTTTCAGGGACGTCAGAGGTTCAGCAAATAAATAAATGAATGAAGTCTCGTTGGAGGAAGAGGTGGTGGGAAGGGGCTGTGGGGGCAGCCGGCGTCCTGTCAGCTGGCCCAGCCCTCGGAGGGCGCCCAGGCTGGGGACAAAGAGGACGGCCAGAGGTACCGGGGGACATGCCCACCCAGCACGGGGGTCTTGAGCTGTGTCTGGGAAGGTTTGCAGGTATCAGCCCTAGGAGTCAGGGGTGTCCCACACAGAGGGCTCCCCCAAAGACTCGGGGCTAGCCTGGCCTGGAGTCTGGTGTGTCCTGTGTCACAGCTTGGGTGCTCTTGGAAGGACAGGATTGGAGGCCCGAGGCCAAGGTGATGGGGGGTAGACTTGCATGTGGTCCCCTGTGTGTCCCAGCAAGCCAGCTGACATCCTTGACCTTCCTGGGGTCCCAGCTTGGACCCGGAGACAGCCCTGAGCCCAGAGGAGTGACCCTCCTGGCAGAGCTGAGCTCTGTGGTAGGCAGGCAGGATTTGGGGACCCCGACGTGCCACCTTCCAGGGCGGGAGGCCAGTGCTCTGCCTGATCTTGGGACCCCCGCTCTGCGAATCCAGAACTCGGGGGACACGTGACTGGGCACCAAGACGCTGGCCTGTAGGGGACTGTGGGCTACATTCATTCCCGCTCTGCTCAGAGGTCAGCCCTGCCCCCACCCCTGCCTCCTCTGCCACCACCACCAGACTCGAGGGTGCACAGAAACCTGCAGCGAGCCTTGAGAGTGTGGCCCTGAGCTGCTGCACCCTCCTGCCGGGGCCGCCGACACCCTGCGCTGGGAACCCAGGAAGGGTAAGGGCCACGATTCCCAGAGGAGCCTGGCCTGGCCAGTCTGGGAGACAGCAGGCTGTGGGTGAGGCTCCCCAGGTAAAGTAGAGGCCACAGTCAGGTTCCAGCCCTGTAGCGCGTCCTGCTGTCCTGCTGTCCTGCCCTCCAGGAAAGACAGAACCGGAGCTGCAGTGGCTGTAGAGAGGGCTGGAGAGGTCCAGGAGGGCTGCATGGAGGAGAAGGCTGGGGGAAAGGCCTACAGGGGAGAAGGGGCCGGCCTGCTCCGTTGGCCACTGCTCCTGTCCAGCCTGGCGCAGGACCCGGGGCAGTGCTGACTCCTGGCCATTCTGGGGACAACAATGGCCGGCATTTAAATTCCAATTGAGTCGGCCTGAGTGGCCGCGGGCGTGAGAACAGGAGCCCCCACCCCCAGCCTGAGCCCCGCCCGCCACATTCCTGCCTCCCCGGAGATGGCCATGGCCGGGCCGTCGCCAGGGGGCCGGGAATGCGGCGCTCAATGGCCAGGGACAAGGGCCCATTGAGCAGTGACGGGCGGGATTGAGCCGTCAGCACCCCTCCACTCGGAACCCCCTCCTCCGTCCCACCTCCCTCCGGGTGTTACCAACGTCAGCGACTCAGCGGACCCTGCTCAGGCCTTCCTGAGCCTGGGTCCCCTCGACTGCCCACTGCCCCAGTGGCCTTCACCCTCTCACCCCTCCCCCGAAGTCAGAGAGACGGTGTCTTAATCGGATTGTGTCACGCTCCTGCCTAGAGCCCTCGGGGGCTGCCCAATGCCCTCAGGAATCGAAAGCCACGCTCCTCCTCTGGCCACAGGGCAACTGACCGCTGACTCTCCTTGCCCACCCTGTGGCACCCAGAGGCCTTGTCTGACCATCCGGTCCGGTCACCTGCTCCCATCCTGTCTCACTGGTCTGCCTGTGTTCTTTCACCACATCCCCCCGCTGTCAGCCCCACAGAGGCAGGACCCTGTTCCCTGCCCTGTGTCCAGCGCCTGGCATTCAGGGGCACCCACACGTATTTCAGGAATCAAGGTTTTAATGCAAATGAGCATGGCATGGCCAGGACCCATTGGCCATGTTTCCCGGGACCGCAGACAGGGCACGTTGCCTTCATGGCAGCCCTATGAGAAGTGAGGATGACGGTGGCATGGTGGCAGCCCCTTCTCCTGGCCCCACGTGGGCCCCAAGGGCTGAGGCCTGTCTCATCAAGCAGCTCAAGTCCCCGAGAGCCTGTTCTCACCTCCTCCTTGGATCTGCCCTCTGCTCGTGGAGCCTGCCACAGGCCAGGCACCGGCCTGAGAAACGTCCACCCCCACCCAGACGGTGAGCAGCGCCCATCAGTGTCCACCCCCACCCAGATGGCATCACAGGACAAGAGCCTGGGCCTCGCTGCCCTCTGTGGCTGCCCACGGCCCCCTCCTCTCCTCAGGCCATGTCAGTGGCCTTGTCTCAGGCCAGGGCAAGAGGATGTCAGGCAGGGTGCCAGGGAACCTCAGCCCAGGATGGGGTAGTTCCAAGGGGCACAAAGCCCTGGTAGACAGGGCCCCCACCTGAGAAAGAACTCGGGGGACATAGGGAGGCTGGTGCAATGCCTGCAGGCTGCAGGGTGTCCCTGTGCCCCCACCTCCTTCCACCCTTCTTGGGAAGATGAGCTCACCCACCTGTCTCCTAGGTGCACTGGGGATGGGGGGCGCTGGCTGGGGGATGGAGGGGGGGCATCCTTGGCCGGGGTGGGCACAGCAGCCCATGTCCCCAGACCAGTATCAAGGAACCCCAGACAAGTAAGGTGTGATGGTGCTGGGAGTGGAGTTTGGGCTTCATGGGAGCCCCCAGGGAAGTGCAGATGTGGGGGCCCCAGGCAGGCATCTCCTCAGGCCCTGGCCACCCAGACCATGTGGACTGCCACCCCCAGGCCTCCCTAGAGCGGCCTGACCATATCAACCTCAACCTCAGGACCAGATCCAGGACCACACAGCGAAAGACAGGGAGCCCCCTCCCCTGCCACCAAGGACTGCCACACCAGGTCACTACGGGGCTCCCACAAAACGCATCCAGAACCCAGCCTGCACTCTACCCTCACTGTCCACACCCCAGAAACCCCCTCCAGCCTCCAGCCACTGCCCTCGCCCTGAGACCCCCGGTCAGAGCAGCCCCTCCTCGGCTCCAGGTCCCCCAGTGGCTGCCATCTTGCTGAGGAGAGGCCAACTCGCAGGCCGCCCGGGGTCCCCACTGCCCCGCCCCTGCCCCGTCCTGCTGGAGCCCTTGGCCCCAGGGTGCCTGGCCCTTTGGGCCATCCGTCCGCCTGGAGCTCTCCTCCGTCACGTCTGGGCATCAGTGGTCAGCATGGTGTGGCCACGTCCCCTGCATGCTGCCGCCAGAGCCGCACACTGTCCTCACCACCGAGGGGTTCGGCCTGCAATTTGTCCCTAGCTGTCTCTGCCCTGACTGTCCAGGCCTGGAGGGCAGGCCTTGGTCTGTGCTGCTCACGTGAGGCCCCCAGTGCCCAGGGCAGTGCCAGGTGCATGGAGGGTCTCGGGGACAGCGTGGGATGAACGGATGAATGAATGGCCAGCAAATGATCCCTAACTCACAAGTGTGGGGCGGAGGCAGGGAGTGGAGTGGAGCGGGTGGCCCCTACATGGCCTGTGAGGTCCCCAGGTGGCCCTTCGCTGTCCCCGTTGTCCAGAGAACACCGAGGCCTGTGAAGGCCACCCCCCACCCCGCTCCACACAGGCATCCCCGTAGTGGTCAGAGCCTCTCGAGCCAGGCTGCCCTGGCTGTCCTCACAGGTGTGGGGACCCCTCCCCAGCTTTGTTTTTGAGGGGAAGCCCTGGGCCAGCTGGCCCAGCAGAGTCAGGATGTAGAGCACGCAGGAGGCCAACCCCCAAGGAGCCACCGCCCAGGGGCCCCTGTGGCCTCGGTCCCCCCACCTCAGCCGGCCGGGCGGAGCAGCGGTGGCAGCCAGGCCTCGGCTGTTGAGGGTATGCTGCAGAGCTCTGGACTGCCTTGGGGGCCCAGGGAGCCCCCATACCCCAAGGCCCATCTACCACTCCGCTGCCTCAGGGTCGAGCCAAGCTCCGCATTGCAATCTCTTGCTCCTCCTCACAAACCCGCAGGGTCATTTTGCCCCTCAGGGCCTGCGTCCAGGCTGTGCCTGGGGTTAGGAGGCCCCCCCCCCCCCCCCGCCGGGGGTAGGCTGCCCTGAGGGGCCCCTCCCCATGGCTGAGAGTGAACAGGACAGCTTTGCTGAGCCGGAGGCGCCTGAACAGCCCTGAGTGGGTGAGGTGGGTACCAGGGAGAGGGAGAGCTCCAGGGAGCGGGAGCAGACGTACAAAGGCCCCGAGGTGGAGGTGGACTGAGCGTATCTGAGGAGCAGCCAGCAGGAGCGTGGTCAGAGAGGTTGTCCTGTGAGCCCCCAGTTGTGCTCAGACTTGGGCAGGAGCCCAGGAGCCACAGGGGTCTGAGCAGAGACTGGCGTGGTCCACTGCGGGTCTCACCAGGACCCTCGGCTGCCTGGGGAGGAGGGACTGAGGGGCAGGGCCCGAGGGGAGGCATGTGGACGTCTGTGTCAGGTGGCTCTGGGAAGATACAATAGTCAGCAGGGCTGGACCCATCCAAGAGGTGCCACCCCACCCACGGC